CCAAATCGATGTTCCCGTTCGCTTTTGCTGAAAAATACTACTGATTTATTAGTTTTTATCTAAGAATTAGATTCAAATTCTTTGACCACCTGAGTTACGGCTCCAGGCCGATATAGGCTTAGTACATTCCAAATTCCTATATTCATTGTCCTTTGTCGTCGCTTTCGTCGTCTAAAAGATCCGTCCTTATCCGAGGCATGCGCTTCGTTTTCATAACTATGTTTTTTTTACAAGAAGGAATAGTTAGTCCCTTGCTTAACCCTCCTCCTTTCTCATCCTGGACTTGGGACTAGGCAACGGTCCGCCGTCATGCTGTGCTGGTTTCAAAATCATCCATTTATGTCTCTACTCCCAGGACTATTTATTACTCTGTATACTTAAAAATTATTTTAAACTCTGGGGTATACGGTGTCCATATATTTTTTATTTCTTCTACCAATTGAAATATTGCACTCCAGATAACAATAATGAGTTAACCATGCTATATATTCTAATTATTTTTAAAAAGATCAAAATAATATCACTGTTGATGGCCGACGGCATCAGACACAATCCGGTATTTTACAAACGAACAAGTAGAGTTAAAGCCCTGTCAAATGATCTCGCACAAAAATAAAATCGTGAAATCTCCCAGGACGACCGGTCGACCTCAGTTTATAAAACCCTTATTTGTAAAGATTGTCCCAAAGGGTAGACAGCAAAGCACTTATGCGTGTAGAAGGGTAAACATGTGCGAATGGAATGAATGTTAAGAATGCCATGAAAAGCACGTATAATCTTATAGCTTTTCTACGAAGGTGCTGTTTGGATGTCCTTCACCGTTTTAACTTTCAGGAATAAGTATTGTTAGCTGAGAACATGTTAAGGGAAGGTATTAACATAAACGATTATTAGCACGGTCTTTGCTACACCTGCTATCTCAACAATTTTTATTAAAATTATAAGATAAGAGAAATTACAACATAGTAAATATACCCTATAATAATTAAACCTATTATATATATATATATATATATATATATATATATATATATATATATATATATATGAGTAAGAAAAACGAAGTACTTGTGATGACTCGTTTGGAAAAAATATTAAACTGTTTTGGATGTGTTGGAGTCTGCTAAAAAGAGCTGCTGAAAAGTACAAAATATCTTACAAAGTTGAACTAGAAATAAAACATTTTTTTAACTTACCAAATAAAATTAGTTTTGTATAAAAAAAAAAATATGTATTAATATTTTTTGTAATATGTTAGCAGCATTTTCACAGAATATTCTTACAGAATTTCAGTTTTAACTCAGCAAATTAAAGTACTTGTTATTTACAAAAAAACGTGATCTAATTAAACCACAGCCAAAATTATATAACTTCTTCTTCTTCTTTTTTCGTCTAGTATGTAGGCTTTAAAGCCTGTTTCTTCTTGAATATTAGCCTCCTAAATTGTTTAAATTATCTCACCATCTTTTTCTTGGTCTGCCAATACTTCTTCGTTCATTTGGTGACTTATCTTGCGCTATTCGTACTATTCTATCCTCTGTCATTCTACTGATGTGTTCGTTTCACTTCTGTTTTCGTTTTGTCACCCATCCATTTTTGTCTTCTTTATTGCATTCTCTTCTTATGTTTTCACTTTTCTCCCTATCCAACAGACTTCTCCCTGATATTCGTCGGAGTATTTTCATCTCTGTTGTTTTTAGCAGTCGTCTCGTTTTAGATGTGTCAGGTCTTGTCTCCGCCGTGTATGTTAATATAGGTCTAATTGCTGCTTTGTAGATTCTTGCTTTTATGTCCTTGCCTGGGGATTATGAGCGCGATGACTGGGTGAATTGAGCTCGAAAGCCGACTAGCGCAGAACCTAAGATGACGAACCACGTAAAGAAATGAAAATTTTATAACCAAATTACTTTCGAAATGTGGGCTTACCGACGTATATTACGTATATCCTGGACTGAGCACGTGACCAACGAAGAGGTACTACGCCGGATAGGTAAAGATAGAGAGGTAGGAATAAGTATAAAGAAAAGAAAGTTGGAATACTGGGGTCTCGTTATGAGACATAATAAATATAGCGTACTACAGCTGATCGTTCAAGGGAAAATAGACAGCAGAAGAAGTTCAGGGAGGAGAAGACACTCGTGGCTCTAAAACTTGCGGCAATGGTTCGGATTGTCATCTGCTAAACTATTCAGATCTTTTGTAAACAAAGTCAGAATAGCCATCTTAATTGCCAACGTTCGGAACGGACAAGGCACATGAAGAAGATAACCAAATTATAAATTATGCTGATGACATTAGGTTTTTAAAAATGATCTTCAAAACAAAACTAACATGGAAAAAATATATTATTTATTATTACTACTACTCCACTACATATTACAAACTATGTAGTGGACTAATAACTGCTTAATTCATGTTTATAAAACCCTAGTACAATAGATAACTGTTCCATAGTATATACACCTGCCAAAAAATCTTTATTACATCACCTTGGCGTTATTTAAAATACGACATTAAGAATAGCCACAGGAGCACTCCGGACCAGCACAACAGAAAGTTTGAGAGCAGAAACTAGAGAGGTACCACTTAAATATATAATTAGACATTTAAGTCTCATATAAGCATTTGCCGCTAATTCTAATCCGAACAATACAACTAAATACAACATATTCACTGATCGTTTTAAAAACTTATATATAATAACGGATTGATTACGGCTGTCGCCGCTTCTCCGCTCCCAATTTCTATCTTTTTCTGTCATATGCAGTTGCCTCTTCTAAGTCTTTTGCCGCCATTGCTTCATCAATATCGTTGCGCCAACTTCTCCGTGGTCTTCCTCTCTTTCTTCTTTCAGGAGGGATCCATTCCAGTACTCTTCTAGGCCATCTGTACTCTGACATTCTTTTAACATGTCCGAACGAGATTAATTGTTTTCTTTCTATGTCATAATTGATATTTCGCTCCATAAGCTTGTTTTTATTAGCTTTGGTGACGTCCCATACTTCCGAACCGTAAAGTGTAATACTTTGGACTATACTACCGTAAATGTGTTTTTTGGTTTCTCGTCGAATTGTTTTTTGTCAGAGAAGAGAGTTTAAGGCACGGGTTGCTGCTCTACCCTTGTTTTTTCTTTCCCTAATTTCATCTGCGCTATTTCCCTTCTTGTTGAAAATGACCCCCAAATATTTGCAGGATTGCATGCCTTTGATTTTGTCGTCTTTCAAGACTAGGTCACGTATTTCATCTGTTCCCACTGATAGATATTCACATTTTGTCATATTCATGTTTAGACCTGCGACCTCACATTCTTCTTGCAGTTTTCTTACCATATAGCTAAGATCGTCGCTGTCTTCGGCAATTACTACCTGGTCATCTGCAAAGAAAAGTGTATATAGCGTGTTTTCTTCAACCGGTATTCCCATGTTTCTACATTTTTTTACCCATTTCACTAAGGATCTATCCAAATAGATTTTAAATAAGGTGGGTGACAGACAGCAGCCTTGTCTTAGTCCCTTTGTTATTTGAAAAGGGGAGGTGATTTCTTGTCCCATTTTAATTCTTGCTAAGTTTTGTTCGTAGTATTTTTAAGTGGCGTTAATATGAATTGGGTATATTTTCAAGTTACCCATTTCTATCCATAGTTGGGAGATCGGTACACTGTCATATACTTTTTCCAAATCTATTAAAGTTATATGGGTTTCTCTATTTCTCTGCACTCGTTTTTCCATTGCAATTTTTAATGTTAAAATATTATCCATAGTGGAGCGTCCGGCCCCAAATCCCGCTTGTTATTCGCGTTGTTTGTCTTTAATGTCATTTTCTATCAGGTTTCGTAGTACTTTTGAGTATAGTCGGCCTATAGTAGCAATCACTGCAATTCCTCTATAGTTTTTAGGATCCGTCTTTGTGCCTTACTTGTATATTGGAGAGATATACGATTGTCTTCATTTATCTGGAACTTCTTCTCCGTTTGAACATCTTTCGAATAATTTTCGGATGTGTTCCTCCTAGACCTGGAGATTTTCTTAATTTCATTCCCTTAACTGCTTCTTTCACTTGTTCTATTGACATTTCTATTCTTCCTTCTACTTCCACGTGTTTATTTGTCTATTTAAACCTTTCTCTTTTCTCTGTTAATAAGTTTTTAAAATGCTCTACCCATGTGTTCTCTGGTATTCTATTTATTATGACTTGGTTTTTTGTCTCATCGTTTTTATAGTTCTCCAAGCTTCAGAGCTCTTTGTTTCTCCTATATGGTTGTCTAGGTATTGGCATTTTTGTTCCCATGCACTATTTTTCTTTTGGACAACTTCTCGTTTGACTTCCTTATTCAAGTAAGTAAGTATGTAAGTTTTAAATCTTATATACTAAAAATAGAAATGTGAAACCACCATTGTATGAAAGAATTAGGCAAACTCTCATGACTTATAATTCATTCTTATAATTCATTATAAGAAAATATCGTATATCAAATGTAACTAGTTATTTGTTTACGGGTTTTACCCATATATTTAGTAGCTACATTCCTGTACTCCTAGTAAGTATTAACCACACTTTGCATTAACCTTAGTGAAAATTTCAACCTAATGTTCTTTTTAATTAAGTGGTTAGTTATATTTTCTATGATGATGGAATCTGGATTCCGAAAACGTTGTGTTTAATTAGCCCGTTAGGGTTTTTAAATATATACCTTTTATAAAGGTTTTTTGTAAAAATTTTTTTAATATATGGTATACAGCCAACTACAGGAACGTAGATTCCTTGTGGATATTTATATGCTTAACAAAATTTAATATCTATAAATAAATTATCCCATGTATATGTATATATGTCGCTAATAACCTCAGAGGTTGATGCGAAAATGTTCGTAAAAAAATACTAAATATCCATATTTTTCTTTCTCTAAAAACTCCTTATAACCTTAAGAATTGTAAAGTCTAGAGTTGTTATTATTACTTTTTTATATTAATTTGATTTTTGAATTAATTTTATTCTTACAGCATTGCAATGTGAGCCACCAGTAGAAATTGCTAATGGGGTGGTTGATATCTCCAACGGAACGTCTTATGGCTCCAGTATTCAATACAGTTGCAATATTGGATTTATCATGGAAGGACAATCAATTTTAACGTGTTTGGCCAACGGACAGTACGATCAAACTCCTCCTGCCTGTCAAAGTAAGTTAGTTAATAGTTGTACAGAAATATACTGCTTTGATTCTTGTTTTTGAGGTTATGGTTTACCAAATTAGGTATTGTATACATTTACGTTGAAAACTAAACACTTTAAGCATATTCCAATCTAGAATATTATTTTCTGGTCCTGTTTAGTGTGTGTCTCTTATAAATAATAGTACAGGGAATTAAATTTTTTTTATGACACTGGCGTCGCCTGTGAAACAACAGGTGTTTTAAGTAGTATGGACCTCTATAACAAACTAAGACGAATGTATGGAGGCATAAAATAACAAGGTTTGTGGCGTAGGTGTTACAATTTTGAGTTGTATAAAAGATTTGGAGAATCTGACGTTGTAAAATTCATTAAGGTAGCACGCTCCAGATGGATAGGTCATGTAATCAGATGAGAGGAAGATGCCATAGTCAGAAAAGTTTTTGACCTAAGAGGGCCGATCGGACAACGAAGAAGAGGAAGACCGAGATTTAGGTACCAAGACAACCTAGAAAATGATTTGAGGTCTATCGGAATTAGAGCATGGAGAAGAGTTGCCAGAGACAGGGGCGAATGGAGGATTGTTCTGAAGAAGGCTTTGGTTCATAAAGAGCTGTAACGCCACTGATGATGATGACCTTTATAACTAGAACCTCTTTGTTTCTTGCTGGAGATTTTTTAAACTTAATTTGTTACTAAGTTCCATGTCTTAACAAATTAAGTTCAAACAGCGGTAAATTTTCACTTTTTTTTGTGTATCAGTAAAAAGTAAAGCATAAAATCTAATACTAAGAAACTTATATCATAACCTTCAAAAATGGTTTTTTAATGTTGCTATCCGTATTTGTTATTCAAAAAGTTGCAAAATAAGTCAGAAATTGTAGTATTTTATAAATATTAATAATTTATTTAACAAATAAACTTAAAACCGTCATATTACATAAAATAGAAGTTCTTGTTCTAAGGTCCATATTACTCAAAATACGTGTCGTTTGACTGAAAGGATCTGTGTCACAAACAGAGTACTTTTTCGTTTATTTCCCTGATATATTAGTTGTCGGTATGCAATACACTTAAAATAATTAAATTATTGGAAGAAAAGAAGGAAAAGATAGTTAAGATTTGATTTAACGCATAGTGCGTCTGTGTATCCGCTTATAGGTATTTCGCCCTAATAGGGTTCTTCATACCGGCAATTCACGCTAACGCTAAGCGATCAACCCTACCCCTAGGAACATGTGTATACCAATATAAGAATGGGATCCACATGTCCGAAGATCAAACCGGTCACACTTCACTAGTTGAAGTGGTACCTATCTGACCCCCAGGCTTTTCCTCCACCCCTCCTCATCGTACGACTGACGTGAGGAGGCTATGATCTGAAAGTTACCTGAGATGCCCTGGGTAATGAGACATCTCCTGTTTTTAATGACTGTGGTTATGCCACCTAACTGTAGGGGTAGCCACATCTAGGCTTTTCTCCCTAATTACTTTACTGACTCTATTGATTTTACTCGGACTGCACTTCGGGACTGAAGTCCCTAACATAAAAAGAATAAAAATAGCGTGTGTGTTCCGTCCATGAAGTCGACAGCCTGGGCTGTCGACTTCATGTCCGGAAAGATATGTGTGTGCTCGGTCACTCAGCCGCCGATTTGGCAAAATAAATTTTGTTCTCCTCGCCGGCTGGGCACCCGAGAGGGTCCGGCCATCAAGCTCATGTTTGCCGCACATGGTCTCAGTGCTCGGGAGTCGCGAAAGGATCAGTATTCATTTGATCCGCCTTAAGGGCCAATTCCGCATCAGCGGTATATAGAAGGCCTGACGGGTCTTCTATATAGAAAATTGGTATGAATTACGTTAAGTTAAGTTGAGATAATTGAATTTAAGTTTGAAATAAATCTGCTGAATTTAAAAGAAAAACAACCTTTTTTTTTTTTTTTTTTTTTGTGTGGGGTTTTGGGGGGTCTTCCTTGGCGATGGAACAATAAAATGCCTGCACAATTCTTACCCTTTTATTCTTACATGCTAAATATGTGTGCGGTGTGGTGGGGTGTGCATTGCAGGGTGTATATGGCCTCCACACACCCCGGTGTATATTGTCCTTAACTAAGTGCCTTGGCACCTGTACCCTCTCGCCAGAGTCCTAAAAATAAGATTTTTTTGGGGGTTGTTTTTCTGATGACTGCATTTTTTTATTCGACGTTTTTGCGACCATCTCATTCTTCATTTATTAGTTTGGGACCCTATATCCGGCTATTTGCTGTTTAGGTCTTCTGTGTAGTGTCCTGGTGTTTGCATTGTAATTAGTCAGCTCTCTTAGCATGCTACTTGGGTGGTTATTTAATCCGTTAAAAAGTTCATATGCCTTTTTATCCATTGTATGTAGGATCCTTGTTTGTCCTGAGTCTCTGTATAAATTTCTCAGAGGTACATATCTCGGTAGATTTAGAGCATCTCTTATCAATTGATTTTGAGCTGTCTGTATCTTTTTCCTGTTTGTTTTACAGGTGTGTCCCCATGCTGCGGAGGCATATGATAGGACTGGCAGGATAATACTATTAGCTATTCTGATTTTAGTTTTAAATCTTAGCTTGCTTCTTCTGCCGATAAGCGTTGAGAGCTGACTTTTCAGCGCTTTGGCTCTGTACGTTTGTTGGTTGATGTGCTGCGTAAAGGTGAGTTTTTTGTCTAGTAACACCCCTAGGTATTTGGCCTCATTTGTCCACTCTACTGGGGTGTTTCCGATCATTAATTCGCGGTTAGGTACACTTCTTCTGTGACTAAACATTACAGCCTGTGTTTTGTCCGGGTTTAAGGCGATTTTCCATTTGATGCACCATCTTTCAAATCTACTTAGTGCTCTCTGCAGATGATTAGCTGCATGATCTGGATTCCTCCAGCTAACAGCTATTGCTGTGTCGTCAGCGTAAAGACTCAACAGGGATCCTGGTTCTTTTGGCGTGTCGGCCGTATAGATGGTATACAGGTAAGGCGACAGCACAGCTCCCTGAGGCACACCTGCTTCCAGGATTCCGACTTCGGACAGGGTTGCCCCTGTTCGAACCCTGAACCTTCTGTTGGCTAGGTATGATCCAAGGAGGCATGTCATCGCCTCGCTGTACCCCATGGTGTTCATTTTATATATAAGTCCTTCATGCCAGACCCTGTCAAATGCTTTACTGACGTCCAGAAATGCTGTTGCCGTGTACATTTTTTCGTTGAAGCCTTTCGTTGCAAATTTTGTGAACCGTAGAACTTGTAGTTCACACGAATGTTCGCTTCTGAATCCGAATTGCGCTTCAGGTATGGTGCCTAATGCTTCTGATTCATCGTTGAGTCTTTTTAGTATGACTCTTTCTGCTATCTTGCTTATTGATGATAATAAGCTGATAGGTCTATAATTTTGCGGAAAAGCGCCGTCTTTCCCTGGTTTCTTTATCATAATTATGTGTGCCTCTTTCCATCTATCCGGAAAATATCGTAGTTTAAGCATGTTGTTAATGATGTTTGTTATGTAGACAATAGCTTTGTTGGGTAGATTTTTCAGTGCCCTGTTTGTGATATTATCAGGACCTGGGGCTTTTTTGGCGTTAGTTAGCTTTATTAGCTCTTTTATTTCTTCGGGGGAGGTATGTGTAATTCCTGCTCTGCCCTTTCTTCTCTTTATTCTTCTGGCTGTTCTTTCTACCTCTTCTTCGAAATCTATGTCTTCGTTGGGGTTTTCATTATTTCTACATGCTCTTTCTAGTTCGTCCTTTAGGACTTCAGCTTTGTCTATTTCCGTGTGGACAATCCCGTTTAATCCATGTAGTGGAGGTATGGGTTTCTTGTCCTGTCGGAGGATTTTCGATAATTTCCAGAAGGCGGATTTGTTAGGGTCTAGATCTTGGATATAGTTGTCCCAGCTTTCATTTCTGTGATTACGTAGTTGTCTTTTAACTTCCCGGTCTAGCTCATTTGCAATCCTTTTGTCTTCTACTGTTCTAGTACGGTAAGCTCTTCTTCTTTTTCTGTTCTTTTCTTGGATTAATTCTTGTAGTTCGTGACTTATGTCTCCGAATCTTCCTTTTTGTCTTGCTACTGTTTCCGTTTTGGAGCTGGCATCGATAGCGTTAATTATCGTATTTTCTAGTTTTGTTACTGTGTCTTCTAGTTCTGTGATGTTATTTATTGTTGGAATGTTACCGATGTTTTCGCTCACAATTCTTCTGAAGTTTGACCAATTTGTTATTTTTCTTTTGTGGGGTTGCAAATAGTTTAGTTCTATTGCTCCCAGGGTCAGGACGATTACATTGTGCGTTGAATCGCCTTCATTTAGAGAGTGTATCTCGTATTGTTGACCCACGTTGTGTAGGATTGCAATGTCTATATGTGTTGGAAGTTGTCCGTGAAAACAGGTCGGTTCTGTTGGTCCGATCACATATGTATTTGGTCTATTTTCGAGATGGCCGCAAAGTCGTCTCCCGTTGTTGTTGGTCGCTCTGTCGAACCAGTTGGGAGATCTCGCATTAAGGTCTCCAATAATTACCGTAGGTTCATCTGTGTCGAGGATTAGGCTCAAGTCTTCATCGAATATCGGTTCGTTGGGTCTGACATAAGCTGACACTATTTTTAGTGTTTCGTTGTTGGCCTTTAATCTTACTAGCGTGGCTTCCATAGTGACCAGTCCACCTGGTGTTGGGATGTGTTCGTGTTCTAAGCCTTTTTTAACTAGTATGGCTGTTCCTCCTGATCTTGCTCTGTGGTCAGTTCTATAGATATCGTAACCTGGAAATTTAGTTTTCTTTCTTTCCACTAATTTTGTTTCTTGAAGGGCTACGATATCGAGCTCTAATCTGTTTATTATCTCGTCCAAAAGGTTGAGTTTTTTGAAAATTCCTCCGGAATTCCAGGACCCTATGCGTAGATCTTCCGTATGGTTTGCTAGCATTGTCGATTTATTTCACCGAATGCAGTCATCATTTTTGTGGCCCTATCCATCACGGACATCATCTCCATCATTCTTTTGTTATATTCCGTTTGGAATGAAGCAATGAGTGCGGCTGCGTCTTGCATTGTTGGGGCCGCTTGTTGTGGGGCTCCTTTGGTTGCTTGCGCATAGCTGAAACCCGCGGTTGTTGTTGCTGGGTCAACCAGCAACAACCTTTTTATTGGTTTGGCTGCCGGTTTGGCGGGGGCAGGGGTCTTTCTTTTAGGAGCTTTAGAGCATCCTCTGTAATTGGCCGTATGCGCCTGGTCGCAGTTGGCGCATTTTGGGGCCGTTTCTTTGCTCTTTCCGCACTCATTGCTAAGATGATTTTCTCCGCACCTTACGCACCTAGAGTCGCAATGACAAGCCTTCGAAGAGTGGTAATAACCCTGGCAGTTGAAGCACTGTAGGGTGTCTTTTGTTGTTTTGAATTCGTCTTCGAAACGAACTCTCATATAGCACAAGTTTGTTACTTTTCTTATTTTCTGTATGTCGTCCTCTTTGAGGGTGATCATTAAAAAAGGCAGTATTGCTTTTCCTTCTTTTTTAGAGTACATGTTACTGACTCTGGTTGCGTCTATGTTCTTATTTCTCAATTCATTGAGAATAAGTTCGGTACTTGTGCTCGATGCGAGCCCTTTTAGAATAACCCTCTTTAGCTTATCGCTGTCTATCGGGTAGGCAACGTATTCTACCTTAGGGGAATGTTCCTCTAGGATTTTTACGACTCCTAGGTAATCTTCCCTATTCTTCGTGTTAATGACAATAGATCTGCCTGATCTGGCAAACTTATTGTCAGAAACGATACCTTTTTTGGCCGCTTTCTGCAGGATTGCTTGATGTTCTGCGACCGTCTTTAAGATGATCGCAGGAGGTTTCGGTTTCTTAACGTTAACCTCAGTAGGTATCTGAGGGTTCACGTCGTTTTCTTTTTCAACTTGGGGCTCTTTTGCCGTTTCCTTTGCTTTCGTGTTTTTGTTTGCCTCCAAGTTTTTTTGGGCTTTTTGCTCACTGCGTTTTTGGGTGTTCTTTGCGGCTGTTGTGAGCGCTTCGTCGTTTCTGGCGTTTATTATTTGAGTTTGCTTTTCAGCAACACTCAAAATCTTTTTTGGTTTCTCGCTACTGGTGACTGATTTCTCAGTAGCGGTGCCTTTTGTTTTCTTTTGGACTTTTGTCCATCCTGCTTCGCTTTTCTTCTCTGTTACCGTTTGCTCTTTTGTCTTATCATTACTACCAGAGGTGCTTGGGGTTTGGATTTCCCATGGTGGGCTTTGGGGTCGTAGCGGCCTGGTGGCGTTCCAGAGGTTGGCATTTTGCTCTTCTTTTCTGTTGGTTAGAGCCATTATATGGCCTACCAACTTCTTAATCTCCTCGTCTTTTTGTTTATTTTCTTCGCGTAGCTCAGTCATCTGAGCTAGGAGATTTTTTATTTGGGCGTTCGCCTTCTCTTCTCTTAATCGGCTCTCTTCTTTGAGCGATTTTATTTGCTCTGTCAGTGCATTGACCGACTTGAAAAGCTCATTGGCTTTTTCTTTGTTTTCCATTTCCTTTGCTCGTTTCGCTTCGTCCTCATCTTCTGAGGAGTCTGCGGTCGGTCGCTGGCGTTTTTTCTTTTTGCCTACCTCCGGCTCGGCACCAGTCGCTGTGGAGATGATGTCCACTATGGGGTTTTTCCCTTCGTTAGTTGGGGGCGGGGCTTCGGTCGATTCGGTGGCCGGGCTCAGCTCTTCGTCGACGTCATCTATGGAGACTTCCATCGTGGTTGAGACGCTGTCGTCTGTTTCCACTTCGCTTTCGGATTGCTCCTGTATTGGGATGTACTCATCATCTGATGTATCTTCGTTTGGGGACGCGGAGTCGTTATTGATGTTCGCGGTAAAATTATTATATATCATTATTGCAGTAGCAACTGATGGGGTGGATGACTTGGGCTTGTCATCTTCTTCTTTTTCTTGTGATGTCACCTGCGTGACATCACTTTTTTGGGGGGGGGGGGGAGATTATCACTCATTATGCCGGAAGGCAGAGAACATAGGTTCAAAAGAGTTATTTGGAGTTTACTACACAGAAGACTCTGTTTTTTTTCTTCCCGTCTAGCCGCTGCCAGACGGTTTTCCTGGGTGTCGTCCCAGCAACCTCACGGTAGTTCACTCCCTGATTTCTCAGGGAGGGATCCTCTTCAAGTTTCTCAAACCTCAGAGGCAGGGGCCGTTTCTGTCCGACCTAGAGTTCAAAACTAGGCCTTACAGTGTCATACCTGTCGACCCACTGAGGTTATCCCGTATATTTTCGCAAACGCGAAGCTATTTAAAGCCTCCGCGAGGGGCCTATAAAGGCAACCCCTCGGCGGTTTAACTTAAAAACAGCCTCGCATCCGCTTTTCGCTTTGGTAAAGGACAAAGGCCTGTGCAATCTGGGTGTCTTACTCACCCGGAGCTAACAAGCTTCGTTGCGTCAGGTCAATCGCCCCCACCTAAGCACACTTCGCTGCTCGTCGCCTTCGCTCGCTGCTCACCGCTGCACGTCAGGATCGTTCGACCGCTGGAGTCCTACTGATACCGGCAATTCACAGTCGCTCTGAACGTAAAAATAAATCTCTTCTGTCTTAGGAAGCTACTCTAACATGGCTTCGAATGGACGCAAATAGCGACATCTGATATTAAATCCGTAAACTAGTTTTCGAAACCAAATTCAGATTTTAGCTTTAATCTGTGCCTTCTAAGAATTACAAGCAAAACATACGTTGAAAATTAGTTTACAGATTTAATATCAGATGTCGCTATTTATGTTCATTCGAAGCCATGTTACAGTTGCTTTCTAAGACAGAATATAACGAATGTATTTTGTCTACCACATAGGGTATTATTATAAGGGGTAGAAAGTTGGGGACAGAAGTTACTGGGGGGCAGAGATAGGGCAAGCAAGATAGATCAATACTTATGCGAACGGCACTCGGTGTTTGTTCGGAGAGCTGTGGTCGTGGATAAGTAAATGGCAAGGGGGTTGGATTGGGGAAACTACAAAAAAATGAAACAAAGGGTTATTTACATAAGTCTCTTAAAACAAACAAAACAAAAGGAAACACCTCTAGCAATTTAAAAAAAAACGCCGCTTCGAGGTGCCAAATTATAACGATTGCAACAAATAGTTGTACCTATTGAAATAATTGTTAAAAATGAAAAATATATCTTTAAACATGAAACTCAAAAATGGGGTTGGAGGTAAAATAAACAAAATGTTAAGAAAAAAAAATTATCTTTTCTTCTTCTGGGCAGCAGAAGGGCTCCAGGGAGGAGAAGACACTCGTGGTTAAAAAACTTACGGCAATGGTTCGGATTGTCATCTGCTGAACTATTCAGATCTGCCGTAAACAAAGTCAGAATAGCCATATTGATTGCCAACGTTCGGAACGGACAAGTCACATAAAGAAGAAGAAGAAAGAAACATCTTTTAAAAGAAGCTATCTCTAGAGGTTAACCTTTTTTTAACCAAAACAAATTATTATCAAAAATAATAAAACGAGCTGTTGTAGGTCAACATTAAATTTAAATCTGAGAACAAATACATTGACAGCTAAAGTCAAACCCTAAAATTTACAATTTTTTAATTATTACAATTCCTTTAAATTTAATCACAAAACAGTTACCTGGATTTCACTGTATAACTTATTTCTGGAACTATAACTGAAAAAACTAAAATTTCTAGGGGTAGAACTGGGCTTCACTCTCTCTGTAACGAACACACGAACAAATCATCTCCAAACTGCCAAAAAGCCTGTAACGACAACCAGGGAGTAAAACTGTAACTGAACCATTAAACTGCTACTATACTTTACACTGCTACACATTTTCCATGAAAAGTGGCAAAAACAGAAAACTTTACAAATTCGACCTGAAATTTGGACAAAATCTAGAAGCATATGTTAACGCTAACAACGCCTTAGCGAGAGTGATGAAATTATCTTCAAAATTAATTTGCATACTTACAAAGGAAACTAAAATGCAAAATAATAATTTGAAAACGCAGTATCGAACGGTTCGAACAAAGAAATATCAAGAAAAATAAGCGCTGTGAAATATAAACAACAATAAAATGTGTTTATATTAACTCGGCGATGTTAAAAAGGAATTGAAATATATTTCGGGTTTTAACTCATACGATAGGAGCAGAGAAACATGGAAAAAACTCTTCGATATTTTAAATAAATATATAAGGGGATTTCAATTGAATACATATACGAGGGGATTCCAATATATAGGAAAATGCAAATGCTACAATAAGAGATTTATTTTCACGTTCAGAGCGACTGTGAATTGCCGTTCTGAAAAGCCCTATTAGGGAAAAATACGTATAAGCAGATACACAGACGTACTATACGTAAAATCAAATCTTAACTGTCTTTTTCTTTTATTCCGATATACTCCGTACGAGTACTGGCAACCAATTCGCTAAGAATTTTTGTTTAGTTATGGAGATATGTTGTGGAATGCAAATTTTAGATTCCTTATGTCTCTAATAACATCTTTATCAACGTCTATTTTGCCTTGCAATTCTTAGAAGGCACAGATTAAAGCAACATTTATTACCTTTTTTATGGATTTAATTCCCATAGTCGCCTTATATAATAACAACAATATTTTAGTGCCAACAACTACAACGCTTCAACTCCCAGAACCGACGAAAACATCGAAACGTCCATCTTCAGTAACAAGCACAGTTGCAACGTCAACTAGACCTAGAACCAGAGCAACACGCCCACCTCCAACTACCATTCGAGGTGTTGAGTTAACTAAAGGAACCAACAGGACAAGAAGACCTTATACCAGGTACAATGTGTATTTTTAATTTAAAGTAAAATATTTTTTACATAGGCTTGGTGAGATTAGCATGAATTAACAAAAATATATAATAAATATGCGCTTTTACATATATATTTTACATATTTTACATACATAAAAAGGGAGCGAAAGATTTATGTAGCAACTATCGCACAATTGCTCTAATTGCGCATTGCAGTAAGATACTCTTACACATAATTCTCGAGAGGATAAAGCCCTTTTTACTACCTAACATTGCGGAGGAACAAGCAGGTTTCGTCCCAGGACGTGGTACTAGAGAACAAATTTTAAAACGTACGGCAGATTGTAGAAAAATCCAGAGAATTCAACATCACAACATATTTGTGCTTCATAGATTATAGTAAAGCTTTCGATTTGGTCAACTGGAGTAAAATGTGGCAGGTTTTGTCTGAAATGGGAGTCCCTAATCATCTGATACTGCTAATTAAAAGCCTGTACAATAACAATTATGCCAGAGTTAGAATAAATGGGGAACTAACTGACAGTTTCAGGGTCACAAAGGGCGTGAGACAAGGCTGCATACTAAGCCCAATTTTATTTAACATCTATGGTGAATGGATAATGCGGAAAGCTACTGAGGACTGGAACGGTGGCATCACCATTGGCGGGAAGAAGATTTGCAACTTGAGATATGCAGATGATACTACTATCCTCGCTAGTTCTGAAACTGAATTGATTCACCTGCTACAACGGATAGAAGACGTAACCTTATCGATGGGCCTTAAAATAAACAGGGATAAAACGAGAATCATGATAATTGACAGAGCTAACAACAATCAAAATCATCTGGTTAGGATAAACAATATCGCTGTTGTAGATAAATTTGTGTATCTGGGCTCATTAATAACCAACAAAGGAGGCTGTACTGAAGAAATAAAGCGGCGGTCAGCAATCGCAAAAAGCGCTATGGCAAAATTAACAAAAATTTGGAAAAGCCATGAAATTACTACCGATACAAAAATGAGACTAGTAAGAAGTCTAGTTTTTTCCAGTTTTTACTTATGCATCGGAATGCTGGACCCTTACTGAGAAAGACAAAAAGAACATAGATGTATTTGAGATGTACTGCTGGAGACGATTGCTGAGAATACCATGGGTGGCCCGAAGAACAAATGAATCCATACTGGTCCAGCTAAACATAAAGAAAAGACTAAGAACACAAATAACAGAACAGATAATAAGCTATTTTGGACATGTGCTTCGAAGAAATGGTCTTGAAAAACTTACCATCCAGGGAAAAGTAGAAGGCAAAAGAAGTAGAGGTAGATCTCCTACACGATACACGGACCATATTGTTGCTACCATTGGCGCTCCATTGTCAGAATGTGCTAGATTGGCAGAAGATAGAAAAACGTGGAGGAACATTGGAAAAATTACCTAACAGCTTCATGATATCACGATACCTGCATCAGGTTAACGACTAAGAAGAAGAAGATGCGCTTTTAACAAACAAAAAAACTGTCAAATAGTTGGCCAAAGTCCGTAGAGTTTTTGATTTTAGAGTGTTTTGAAGTCGTTGCTAATACTCTCCCAAATCAGGCAAAACCTGAATAATAGACCATAAAAATAAGTAAAATAAAGGCTTTTTCATGGCACTCTTTGATACACGCATATAAAAACTCATTTTAAAAAAAATTGTTTATTTCAGTAATAACCAGTACGATTTAGTTTAAATACACCTTCTTACGATTCACTTTTTACAAAAAAAGAAAACAATAGATCATTTACCAACATACCTACCATGGGATATAAACAAAACTCATCATTCTGTATGTTCACGTACAGTCCGGTATTAAGCACACTATGCGTAATGGATATAGAACACTATATATAATTCTAGTTACGTATTTATTCTAAAAGTTGAAAGGATATAGAACGAAATATTACTGAAAACTTGTATTTGGTTGAGAATATTATTACCATTTCAATGGATATAGACTTTCATAGATATAAAAGTTCATTTTTACAAAAAAAAATATATATATATCCGGTTTTTTAGGCGTTACGCCCGTCCGGTAGGGATCTATGGAGGAGTATCACCAAGCCGCAAGCCCTTATCTCTTGCCGTACTGCTCCACCATAGGCCGATCAGATCCCAGCATATCCTAGTCTAAGCCGCAGATTCATCTAGAATTTTAAACTGCTGCGTTAGACTTTTTGTTTTCAGTACACCGAGCTGGGGCCCGAACCCACATCCACTGAACCATTCGACAGTGAAGTGAATGAGAGGCAGCCGCACAGCCCGCTGAGCTATCTGACCGACAAAAAAAATTATGTATACAATTCCAAACTGCCAAAAAGTGGACATAAAACAATATAATTCTCATGTGTTAATAATACTTTTATGTTAAAAATTTTTAGTACTTAAGTGACACAAGTTTTTTTTAATAAAAAATTCAATTATACAAATGTATTACATTACACGAAATTTGCACAGATTACACTGAAAACAACAAGGTTCCTTTTGGTAAAATGTATTATCTTAGAAGCATCATAGGTTTGGCAGTAACAATGATACAACGGAGAAACCGTATTTATACAAAAGTTTTTTACATTTTCTGAAAAATCTTATTGTTGGAGTTATGCCACCTTATCATTAAGACTGCAATATGATATTGTGTTATTATCACGCGAAACAAAGTTTGTTGTACATTTTTAGAAAACTTATTGATGATTTTCAAGAAATCGACTATTTTTAAAATATTTCAGCAATAAATTAACAAAAATAACTTTACAAAATTTAATTCTAAAGGACTTTCTATGCTTTTTTAGTAAAATTGTACTTTTTTATACAATTTCTCGGTCTGTAGCTGTAATATTTAAAATAAATAGCGATCTTACATTATTTATTATATTGTTTATAAGTAAAAACTGACTTTAATCTGAATTTAATCTTTTGCATATTTTATTTATTACATATTGTTATTACCAAATATAATAAAAACAGCTGTTAGATACCTGTATCAAAGAGTGTCACGAAAAAATATTTTTATTTTCCAATTTCTCTGGTCTAATAAGCATATTTTCAAACTTTTTAATGCATATCTGCATGCAAATTTTACTAATATTGTAAATGCATAATTACACGAAGCCTAGTTATCATGTAAGTTACAATTAAACAGAAATGGTTTGACAATTATTCTAAAATTTATTGAGTTCTCATCGAAACAGAGATAAAAACAGTTAATATAAATTATTTATTATAATATTCCAGGCCAACTACGGAATCCACAACGAAAATGTCGTCATCAATACCTCCGTCCATAATAGTAGCTGGCCATCCGCAAGATAACGAAATAGCCGGCAGTTCAAATATTCAACATGCAGAAACTCCGAATGTTAATGTTCCATTATCCATTGATGGTGAAAGAAAAGAGCCATTCGGAGCCAAATTGAATTTGGGAGCCATTATTGCGTTAGGAGCATTCGGAGGATTTATATTTTTAGCGGCAATTATTACAACAATAGTTATTTTAGTAAGAAGGTAAGGATATTTGAAGTATATTATTTTGATATGACGGGTCAGTACAAAAAAATAGTATTAAGAAGTTTTGCAAAGAAATTATAATTTAAAATTTTAAAATAGGTCTACTAACAGGCGAGATCACCAAATTGAAGAAAAATTGCTGTGATGGTTACTATTCACTGGATATTGTTGCAATAATTTAGTGTTTAAATGCTTGCACAATTAATTATAATTTCCTTAATCCTTATACCATTCGTAGACCTTCACAATATGTTTACATTTTCAAAACTTAGAACTACTGATCACAGTAATGTAATTTGTTTAAATTTTGGCTCAAAATATTTAACTTTCGATCCGTACTTTTTTCAAACCCCTTCGTACCAATTTTTCGAAGTAAGTATTTAATGATACATATTATATCTTACCTAAATAATCCAAAATGTATGCTGTATGCTGTTTGTCGTTTCGTTTTATTGGTGGAAGCTGGTGGTAGAAAATGTTTTTATATATTCCATTATCCGTTATTATTTTCCATTGGTCAGTCCAAATACCCATTAATTTTTGTTTAAGTATTTTTTTGAGATCCGATAAAGCTCTGTTGAATTTAAAGAACAGTCTTGCTTTGCTCTTCTTCGCGTGCCATATCAGAATTATCCGACGTTGGCGATCAACATTGCGAAGGCTTCTCGATCTTCTGCAATATGGAATAATTGTCCTGCATTTGATATCTGAGTAGATTCACGAATGTTTTTTAACCAGGAAACCTATTTTCTTCCTACCCTATACGGCCCTCTATTTTGCTTATAAGGATCAGTTTTAATATTTTATATCGACTTCCCCTTACTCTATGTCCCAGATTTAAGACATAAGATATAAGACATTTTTCGGCGTTTAACAGTATTTAGCAGTTCTCTATCTCTGTTGACGTTCCTTAGTACTTCTTCATTAGTTTTCCTTGCTGTCCAAGGTATATTCAGCATTCGTCTATGAACCCATATTTCCAATGCTTTAATTTTATTCATGATCGATACTTTTAGCATCCACACTTCTGCACTATACAAAAGTACGAACCAAACATAACACTTAACCATTCTTTGCCTTAGTTCTAAACTGAGATGGTTATTGCAAAGAAATGACTTTATTTTCATAAAAGTGGTTTAACTCATTGCTATTTTACGTCTTATTTTTATGTCGGGATCTAGTTGGTCCGTTATCACAGTTCCCAAATATGTCATTTTGTGAACTCTCTCAACTTGGACTCCGTTTAATTAAAGCTTTGCATCGAAATGTGGGTTACGACTATCCACTAAAAATTTGGTTTTGTTTGAGTTTATTTTAATGCTCATTTCCTCTCCTACCTCGTGAATACGATTAAGCAGAATTTGAAGACCTTTAGTATTATCTGATAGAGTTACTGTATCGTTTGCATAATTAATCACAATAAGTAGTTCCTTGTTGATTTTTATTCCATATGGTTGTCTCTCAAGTGCCTTTTTAAACAATTGGTCCGTGTAAACATTGAACAATGGTGGCGATAAAATGTAACCTTGTCTGACTCCTCGTTGTATAGAGATTTCATCGGTGTAGTTATCTCCAATTTTTACGATAGCAGTTTGATTGCAGTACAAATTTTTAATGACACGAATATCCTTGTTATCTATTCCGATATTTTTCAGTATTTGCATTAATTTTACATGCTGAACTTTATCGAATGCCTTTTCGAAGTCCTCGAAACATGCAAATACATCTTTTCTTTGGTCACGGCATTTTTGTAATAAGATGTTAAGCGCAAAAAGTTGGTTCCCATCATCATCATCATCATCATCATCACTGGCTCGACAACCCTTTTTGGGTCTTGGCCTGTTCAAGGATTCTTCTCCATTCTGACCTGTTTCGTGTTTTTTTTTTCCAGTTTTTAATTTTTAATGTTGTTATATCATTTTCTATTTGTTCTACGTATTTCAGCTTCGGTCTTCCTCTTGTTCTTTTTCTTATTGGCACTTGTTTGAATATTTTGTTTGGTATTTCGTCTTCTTCCATTCTTTCCACATGTCCAATCCAACGTAGCCTTCCTATTTTAATGAATGTTATGGTATCCGGATCCTGGTATATGTTGTATAGTTCAAATTTATACCTTTTCCGCCAAATCCCGTTTTCTTTTGTCCCCTTATATATGTGTTGCAAGATTTTTCTTTCAAAGGTGGCTAATAACGTTTCCTCCCTTTTAGAGAGTGTCCAGGTTTCTGAACCGTATGTGAGTACCGGTCTTATTAAGGTTTTGTATATTTGGCATTTTGTTTTTCTGAAGACGTTATCTGATCTTAGTTGCCTAATTAAGCCATGGTAACATTTATTGGCAATAAATATTCTCCTCTTCACTTCCTCTTCAACGTTGTTATCAGAGGTAACTAGGGATCCTAAGTATGTAAAGTTTTTTACCGCCTCAATGTTGTATTCTCGTTTGGCAGCTGCCTTATTTGTGCGTTTTTATTTGCAGGCATATATTTTGTTTTTGTCTGATTGATTTTAAGACCACTATTTTTTGCAGCTCGTTCTATTTGAGTGAATGCCTCTATCATTTCTCTTCTTGATCTTGCGATTATGTCAACATCATCTGCAAATGCTAGTACTTGCACGCTTTTATTAATTATTGTTCCTCGGGTATTAACTGTTGTGTCTCTTATTATTTTTTCAAGTATGATGTTGAATAATATGCATGATAGAGCGTCTCCCTGGCGTAGTCCCTTCTTCACATCTATTGTTTCCGTTAATTCGTTTTGTATCCGGATTTTACTTTCTACTTTTAGTGTTTCTTTTATTAATTCTATTAGCTGTGTTGGTATATTAAATTCTTTCATTACTTTTGTTAGGAATTCTAGGTTTATATTGTCATATGCGCTTTCGAAGTCTATGAAGAGATGATGTGTGTCGATGTTATATTCACTTGTTTTTTCAAGGATCTGTCGCAGAACAAATATCTGGTCTATTGTTGACTTCTGTCTACAGAAGCCACATTGGTATTTGCCAACTATTTTTTCAGCGTATGGTCTAAGTCTTTCATACATTACGTTGGATATTATTTTGTATGCCGCATTCAACAGCGTGATTCCACGGTAGTTTTCACATTCTAACTGGTTTCCTTTTTTATGTAATGGTACAATAATGCCGCTATTCCACTCCTTTGGTAGCTGTTTATTCAACCATATCTTTCTTATCAGCTTATGTATGGCTTTAAGTAATGCGTCTCCTCCTTCTTTCAGTAGCTCCGATGATATTTGATCCGATCCCGGTGATTTATTGTTATTTAATTTGTCCACTGCTGTTTTAATCTCTGCTATTGTTGGTGGACTCTTTTTTCTGTTGTCTGCTTGGTCTAACGGTATATCAGGGTTCATCTCTGTCCTATTCACCCCAACCCCTGGTTCCTATAGCATTTCTAAAACCAAGTTAAGTATTTTCAAGATCTTCTTCGCATTTTTTTCTTATTTCGTGTTCATTTACAATAATTTTGTTATTATTGTCAACGAGTACAGAAATAACTCGTTTTTAAATATGTTACTTATTTCTTTTATTTTTTTTTGTACATTAAATAAGTCGTGTTTAGATATTACATCTTCCATTTCGTCGCATCTTTCTCTCATCCATTTTTCTTTTTTTAATTTGATCTCCTTTTTTATTCTTCTCTGTAGGTGTCTATATTCTGTTACATTAGATTTTATCAGTCGGCGTTTTTTCATTAATTTCAGGATGTCGTCTGTCATCCATTTATTTTTCTTGATTAAGTTTTTTCTATAATCATTGTGGAGATTTCGTTAACTTGGTTTTTAAATTCACTTGATAGTTCTTCTGGATCTTATAGTTGTTCTCCGATGTTGTTTATTCTATTGTTGATTTTTTTTAATGTTATGTTTATATCGTCAAAGTTAGGTTAATTGGTTTTTGGCATTAACTGCCCAGGATATGTAGTGACTTTTTTGACGGCATTTCGGAAACGCTCATTTACAAGTATATAGTCTATTTGATTTCTTGAAGACTCAGGGTTATTGCCATCATCAATTGGGACTTTACAAGTGTATAGTCGTCGCTTGGGTAGTTTATACCAGGTGTTTGCAATGACCATATCGTTTTTTTTACAAAATTCAGACAATCTCTCGTCGACCTTCCCCAATTTTTGCATTGAAGTAGCCTATAATATATAAAATTGCGTGTTTATTAAGTATCTGATCATACAACTTCTCGACTTCGTCGCCATATTTTCTACATGCAGTCGAGGCATAGATTTGAAGTATGTTAGTTTTAAATCGTTGAGTATTTATTTGGAGTAATATTATTCTATCCGAGACTGGTAAGAAATTGGTCACATATTTACTCAGTTCTGATGTTACTAATATACCTACACAATTTTTGTGATGCGGGTGTTTTGTGTTGTTACCGGAATAATATAATACACTTCCCTGCTTTTTGCATGATTCTGACTCTGTCCATATCATTTCGCTGATTCCCTCTAGATCTATTTTCATTCTTTTCATTTCTTGAATTGCGTTGTCAAGTTTCCCAGCCGCAAATAGATTTCTTCATAAGGTTTTCGCATGTTTACGACCTAAGAGGCCTCGTTGTATAACTATGTTTCTCCTCTCCTGTCGAATCTTGGCCTTCGCTTTCCATGATTAGTAACGGTTTGAAATTGCAGTGTAATTTCCATGGCGAGTTTCCTAGGGGTGCTCTATGAGCTGTTAATGCAGTGTTTCCACTTTGCCTTCAGCATTCTGCAGTATTATGCCGTTGACTATTATTTGTTAATTCATCCGCCTTCGGGGCCGATTTCTCAACCTCAGGACAAAAGAATGCCCTACCATTCACCAACTCATCCGCCCTAAGCAGTTGGTCAGTAAGTGGGGTATTACCTATATCGGCAATCACTCGGACGTCAGAGTCTCATTTGCTATCTAGCAGGATGCACAGGACGACCAGGCAAGCTTGCTTGAGGTGACGACCTCACGCAAGCAGGTGAGGTTGAG